TGTGTGTGTGTGTGTGTGTGTGTGTGTGTGTGTGTGTGTGTGTGTGTACGGATTTTTTGTACACGCATCTACTTCTACAATTTTTTAGATACCGGGTTGAAATTTTACACACAAATAGAGTATCATAGAAAGTATGTTTTCCTCTAATTTTATTAAAAATTACTGTCGACCGGTATGGATTTTAGGGGGGTTTTTATTTTTCAGAAAAATGTGTTTTACCCTGTAGCTTTCTCAATATTTGAGATATCGGTCTATTTTTAATTCTATTATATTCTTCAGTTTTTTTTCCCCTATTTTATATGTAATTTTAAGATTTGGTTGATCAGTTCTTGAGTTACAGACGTTTGAAATTTTGGAGAATCCGTACATACATAGAAGCCTTATGAAGTTTGGTCTAATCAACTAAATTTTAAAAATTATATATGAAATAGGGGTAGAAAAGACTAAAGAATGTAATAAATTTAAAAATAGACCAATATCCCGAATATTGAGAAAATCCAGACAATTAAGCCAATTAAGAAAATTTATTATTTTCTAATTTTATTAATAAAAGCAATTTTTATATATTTAAAAAATTATTTTAAAGTTGAAATAAAAAACTATTGTAATAGTATAACAAATATTAGTCGCAATAAATATTATCACAATAAAAAAAGTGTGCAAGTAGAAACTTGCACATTGCTTCTTCATAGTTTTTAAGTGTTCAAGTAGAAACTTGCACAGGGCGGCGGTGTGGTCTAGTAATAGAGCGCCAGACTCGTAATCTGAGGAATTAGGTTCGAGTCCACTAGAGCCATGAATCATGGAAAAGTTTTTTCCGAAAAAACCGCGCCCCTCCGTGCAAGATGCGGAGAAAACGGGGCTCCGTTTTTCGGAAGAAACGTTAAACCGTTGGTCCAAAGAAGGAAACAGTAAAGTAGTGCGGGGGGGGGGGTTTCCTTGGTGTCCTCGGGTGAGGACGGTTAGGTGCCTTCAGCACTGTTGGCACAAAAAGTCTAAGCCTAATGAAGTACATTTGTTACAACTGAAACACTTAACCGAGCACTCAAAATACAACGTTACAAACTTCAACGTCAAATAACTCTACCCGTTGCCTTGATATATTTAAAAATAATATATAACACATCCCAGTTTCTCCTTTGAATGAGTCGGTAAATGTCTATTTCCTCCGTGAAATTAACCTCTCTTAGTTCAGCGTCCAGAACAGCTCTTTGTTCGTCATATTTGTTACATCTCAGAATAACATGGTGGATATCCTCGTATTCACAGCCGCATTCACATCTCTCATTATCAATGTAGTTCTTTCTCTTGAGAGAAGCTCCCAGGTTATAATGGTTAGCTCTTATACGATTGATGAACGTGATAAAGTATTGCTTTGACCTTCCGAAACCACGGCACGACCGAATCACGGTCATAGAACGTGTCAAAATAGAAAGTTCTCTTGTGTTGAGCGTCACGTACAATCGATATCTGCGTAGACTCCCATGCATCTCTCCTTGCTCGCGCCAGTAAATCCCCCACCGGAACCGTGATGGAGGGGTCAGGCTCCTCCTCCACCGCCTCCTTAGCCAACCCATCAGCGATCTCGTTATCCAGAATTTCCGCGTGAGCGGGAATCCACGCGAGTACGATCTTCTTATCACAAAGTTTTTCCAGCTTATAAATCAATATTCTCGCTTCAATCACATACTTATTCTTGTGGACATTTAAATGGTTATTTCTAATAGACTTAAGAACAGCTTGGCAATCAGACAGGATAATTATCTCGTTTTTACCCACGTATTTGCGGGTCCATAGCAAGCGCAGAGCTGAGCACAGTGCAAAAGTCTCCGCAGTGTAAGAAGAACAGAGGACGGGTAGACTCATCTTGAAAACCTCGTCGTAATCGCAGATAACAATACTTGCTCCTGTAGAGCGTGCAGACTTATTATATGATCCGTCCGTAAAGAAAATATCTGGATCCGAGCTCAAATAATATTTATCAACAATTTTTTGAATAAGAGTTAGGTCGGAGAATCTCTCTCGCTTTCTCACAGCTCCGATATCCATGTCAACAATAGGTTTACACGTGTGGGCGTTATAAGAGACGCTGAAAATTGGAAACTTCTCGGCAGGACCAATGAGATGCCTAGTGCGGTTTACTTTTCGCCATATCTCCGATAACAGAGAAGGTCTATACGCAGGCTGTCTGAATCGTTTAAAATTCTCTTCTTCCAGGAGGTCGCGCATCTTGTCGCACAATCCATTATGGTTATGAGCAATTGCCTTGTTAGCAAAGTTAATGCCCAACAGCATGGCCCGGTCCCTCAAATGTGTCATTTTTACCTCTGCCACAATCACATTGTTGGGGGTGGAATTCCTGTAGCCAAGGGCTGTACGAATGCCTAGGAATTGAGCCCTCTCCAATTTTAGCTGTAAAGAGGCTTCTTTGAGGAAAAATACGAAGCTCCCGTAATCAATGATAGACCTTACAAGACTTTTATAGAGCATCAACGAAGTATTTACTTCCATGTCTCTGGAAACTCCACAGAGATATCTAATAATAGAATTTGGGCGGTTCACCTTGCCTCTCAGTTCCTGTATCTGACGGTCGAAGTTTAATTTATTGTCAAGCCAGATTCCCAGGAACTTTGCACCCCCACAGTTGGGGACGTCGCATCCATTGCGTGTATACTCATCTGTTCGTCGATGTATCCGCTCTTGGAAGACTCCACCAGCACCGTTTTTCTCGGCTCCAGATCAAGTCCCATCCTGCGAAGTCGGTCAGCAATAATGTCAATCGCACGCCGGAGCAAAAGTCGATTACTTCCATGGTTGGGTCCACGGACGTAAATCCCGACGTCGTCCGCAAACTCGACCGCCTCAACAACCTCCGGCAGGTCCGCACAGACACCCTGCGTGTATAATGAATATAATACCGGACTCAGGACAGCACCTTGCGGGAGCCCCCTATAGACAAAGCGATCCACAGAATCTCGGGCGTTAACTATGAATCGCACCCTTCTACGGTATAGCCAATTGCTAATGAATCTGACTATGGCGGTGAGTGCTATCAATTTCCCCAGCATTATCCCATAATCCACGCAGTCATACGCGGAGGAGACGTCAAGGAACGCGGCCAGGGTGTATTCCCCGACACACATCGCGGCCATGATATCCGCAACGATCCTCACCAGGTTATCAGCACACGACCTGCCCCTGCAAAAGCCGTTCTGCGACGGACTAAACTTCTCGTCCTTTTCCGCCCACCAAACTAACCTTTCATTGATCATCCTCTCCATCACTTTGCCAACGCAGGAAGACAATGAAATGGGCCTGACCTTTTCGCAGCCCACCTTATCAATAAAAATCTCCTGATAGTTGAGCCAGTCGCTGGGGAGAGAGCCAGTAGACCACACCTTATTGAAGCTGTCCAACAGGAAGTCCTTAGCAATTTCTGGAAGAGCCTTAATGGTCTTATATTCGATGCCGTCCAAACCAGGGGATGAGTCTTTACGGATCATCTCAAGCGCTCTGACCATTTCCACGCGAGAGAACGGTGCATCAAAGTTCGACGTCAAAGTGGCATTTCTCAAAGTCAAACACAGGCTCGACACCAACGGAGGGCGGGGCTCAAACTCTCAATAGTTGATTTGACCACCTCCTCTCTATTCTTAGTGGGCCAGGCATTCCACTCGAGATTTTTCCTGGCGTTTTTAAAAATGCGCATAATCTTCCAGACATACGAGAGACTCGTAAACCTGTCAATCCCCCTACAGAATTCCTCGAAACCGGCCTTCTTTTTACGTTTAATGGTCTGTCTAGCCCAACCCGTCGTTTTCTTATAGCCAAACCAGTCATGTAGACTCTTGGTATTCTTGAAGGCCTTTAAGGTCTCCTTTCTATTACGAATGACCTTGTCGCATTCTGCATCCCACCATTTATGTGAAGGTTTCTTCTTGATCGAGGGAACCCTCGTAGGCGGAGTCGTAGACCTTCTGCCCGAAGCATCGGCCACAGCGCTCTTGATGACCTCGATGAAAGAAGAGTAGCAGGTCTCGAGATCCCTCTCCAAAAAACTCCGCCGGAGGGGAATACTTTCTCTCATTTCAGAATCTACTATCTTCCGAAATCGGCTCCAATCGGTCTTCTTAGTAGATAGACAGTTCGTGGTCTTCCCATAAATCAAGGGGGAATTATCGAAGGAGAAGGAGATCGGATGGTGATCACTGCCCCAAGCATCCGAAATCCGAAAATAGGATACGTCCCCAACTATATTTGTCATGCCGAATAGCAGATCTATATTGGTATCTCGCTGTCCTCTGACGCCGCCACGAGAGCAGGTGTCCACGTTAACACAGATCAATCCTTCACTATCCATAATCTCATAGAACAGATCTCCTTCAACATCTGTGGTAGGGCAATTCCATGTGCCACTGTGGACATTGAAATCGCCCAGGATAATCGTGTCGAGGCCATTACCGCCAACAGCATTGAATACAGGCCCAAAGTTGTTTCTAGCCATCGGTTCACAAGGGTGCCTATACATGGCGACAATATTGACATTACAAGAAAGATTATTCGTTTTGACGCAAACTACGTCATATCCTACAGGCAGAATACCTTGTATTGGTACCTCAATAAAATCCACAAAATTGCGTAAGGATATAGAGACGCCACCGCTACCCAATCTGTTAACGCTACTCACAGATTTTAATTTGGAGAAAGAGACCCGTCGCGGGCTTTTACATCTGGTCTCGGTTAACACCACGATGTCATATTCCGTAACATGCCTGGACAATTCCTCCCTGCTGTTTTGATATCCTCGACAATTCCACAACAGAAGCTTGAATTATAAAGTAGAGGAGAGGGAATCTCTCCCCATACCGTACGCGCTCTGTCCTCCATGTCTGACACTGTTCAATACTCTTAATTCCTTCCTTACTCCTTCAAACGTACCGCCGCTTGGGGGGAGGGGCGCGATGTCGCCCCTCATTCATAAGTGCCTCACTCAGGCCATCCCTCGCCAAGGGAAATCTCTTCATCAACATCAACAACATAATACTCTCGATCATTTCCTCCACCGTGCCGTGCTCCCGGCATTCGTTATCCCTCTCCGTTCCGCGCTGCACCACCTGAGACCAAGAAGTGCCACAAGCCGCGGCCAGGGCCAATCCCCTCCTATCCACCACTATTTCCTCCTCACGATTATTGAATTGGCCGTAATAGTTTCCCATTCCGCCTGTCTCAGGCAGTCTCTGTCCTTTCCTTCGTTCTTAGTCTGGGGAAACCACTTCGCTCACTATTCAGGCGAGGGCCTCGCACTGATCCTTCTCGAGTGCTCGGTACATCAGAAGGCACAGATTTCTGGGGCGGGAGAGCAGGCCAACTAGCGGGATCAACTCTGCTGACCATGGGCTTAGCAGGGATTGGAATTTCCCCCTCCGCCATCCGTCTCGCACTATAGAAAGAGACATTATTAAACGCCATAATGACATTAATATTTTTATTTTTCTCACTTTTCTCACGCACCAAGCAGCCGCGGAACGTGGTCTTATGCTGTCCACCACAGTTGAAGCAACACAACGGTTTATCACACTGGCCATGCGCTTACCGCAAACAATGCAACGTGTTTCGCTCTTGCATGCAATTTTAGTATGGCCAAACTTAAAGCAATTGAAACATTGCCTGATTTGAGGAATAAATGGACTTCATTGCGGAAAATTTTTAAGTCCTTGATTTTTTTCAACTTGAAGGTTATGACAATATTATACTCGTAGCCACGAGGGACGACTTTTGTGCAGTCGGATTCAACTTTCTGCGGTACATCCTTTCAATACGTCCGACTTGTCCTGCACCGCGTCCCAGTGCTCCGGAATCCCGGCTGGCCAGTCTGAAACGACTCCCTTACAGACAATAAATCGTTGTTCTACGTAAGCCTTTATCTTAGGAACATGCATACTATCAATGGAAACGAGCGTACGATTAGCCTCTGTTGCTTTTTCAAATTCAACCTCCGCAGTGAAATGATTGAGCATTTCCAACGAGGACGGGCAGATTTGCAATTCTGACAGGAGCATCCAAAGTTTTATTTCATTCATGCCCTTTCTTGTTGTAGAATGCTCTGGCGCGAGCTTAATAGTAATTTTGGCTTTACCTGAGTGTGCGTCGTCAAATCTCGTATATCGTTGAATTTCTGGATTACCATATTACATCTCCTCAGCACGTGATCACACACAATATATATCTCCTTTTCAATCGCCGGCGACAACAATCCCACGGCGGTTTTACGCGGCTCGTCACTCGTGATCACGTGATCACTCAAACCGATCGTGCAGTCGTTCTGCGTTTTATTATATACTATCTAAAACTAAACTATTCGCTAGCGGGGCCGCTTTTTTTATTAAAAGCTCGCGGTCCCCCATGTCTGAATCCTTATCCTTAATAATTTCCACGTCCATCTCGTCCCCAGGGTCGGCTGGCACGTGACGTCTCTTAAGAAACTTCTTGTCCCTCTGTTGTTTGCGTCAATTTTCAATCTCAACGCGGCTAAAATCCGGTTGTTCGTTATTTGAAATATCCTTCGTGAATTCGTCAAATTCCTCCTCCGAGACACTCGTCCTGAGTCTTTTATTGCACTGTGTATCGTCACGTTGTGCACGGGTGTCGGCGCTCAGAGTCTGCGATTTATTCGAGTCCAGGATATCCATCCTTAAAAGAAAACTAATAAACGCTCCTCCTCCGAAGGGGGAACAGCAAGATCAAGAATAAAACCCTTCCGAGCAAACGAGGACAACGAAAAGGTCCAACGTGATAATGTAGGTACCACACACTAGCAGATATATATCTATGAGGGAGGAGCGAAAGCAAGGCACGTCCGACTCGCATGGCGGTTCGAGCGGAACTCCCGTACTGCCGTGTCTCTCAAGATAGGTTAGTGACAGCGCGTTGAACGCACCTATCAGCACTCGCGCAGTACACATACGTATATATAACATATGTGCATATCGAAACTGGCGATACTAGCACCGCCCTGGTGTTGAAAAAGTGAAAGTTACATTTCTCTGTTACATCTGTTATATATACGTTATATTGAGCTAGAGCGGTCGACGTTCGACGTATCTTAATAATAAAATTTTCATATTTGGACTTTGCGTCGCAATATCTCCGCTCGTAGGGCACGTAGCGGAAAAATAAAAACAACCCCCCCCCCCAAGTCAACCCCAAGCTATCGATCAAGCCTACTTAGAACTTAATCCGTTCACTCGTTATCGAGATCTCAACATCTCGAGTACTCGCAACCCGATGCATCGCGTAAAAGAGTCACGGTCGGTCTCGCTCCGCGTATACTTGGCACGAGACACTACCGTGTCTCTTGAAACGAATTAGAACAGACTTAAAAGTGTTGACATTATCGACATCGAGAAAGTTCGGCCTTCATTATATAGGATCCCCTTAATGTCTTTCCTATTATATCATTCTTATATACTATCTTGTTTCCTTCAGTTTATCGTAGAGTTCGTTTTTTTTTCGATGTTACTTATTAATAATTGCGCATCCCGAATGGGCGCAAGTATTAATAGTCAGACTACTTGCATAGACTTGTGATTTATGGTTCACAGTTCGCCATTCATAAAAAATCCAATTGCTGATGTGGATCTTTCATAATGTTTGCAATTCGTGATTTGTAATTTGCGATATACAATTTATTCATGTGATTCATAGTAATTCGGCAATAATTTATTTCTACTTATAGTGATGCTTGTTCTTGGGATTTTATACTTAAACGAATATTCTATTATATGTTCTACAAACGCAAAAACATAATTATCTACTCACTCACAGAATGTATTACAAAAGGCCGAGTAAGTTAATTACTATAATGGACTCTATATTACAATAATAGAGAGTGCATTATAGTAACTAACGTAATCAATTTCCTAGTATATATAGAAATAAACATGAATCTCAATGCGCAGTATAGTGCTATCAGCTATACATAATATCCACACGATACAACTGATTCGTAAAGATTCGCGCCATTTTGATTTTGTTTATCAAATCGGAGCGATTAAAAAATCGCTTCAGTACATCCGGATTGATAAGCGACGAATTTGCCTTTCATGAATCTTATACGCACTATGAATTGGGAAACGCACATAAACTAGTTCATGTGAACGTTTTACAAGATAATTGTTTATCGTTATATATTTCAGTTATAGATTGCGATGGTACTCGTGGAACTAATCGGGGCTCTTATAGGTGCTCTGAGCATTGTGTATATTTATTATAAATTTGTGATATTCAACTTTTGGCGCAAGAGGGGTGTTTTTTACGTCGAACCTGTTGTACCAACTGGAAATATAACAGCTCTGGTAATTGGAAAAAAGCAAATAGGCAAGTATCTCTGCTATTTTTTATGATATAATATTAACATGCATACACAATGTGAATATTTCCCACTACAAGTGTGCAACTCTCTATAGTTTTCTGAAATATTTAATTATAATTAGTAATTAAAAGTAAAAGTAATTAACATAAAGTTTAACAGCGATATGGTAAATTCGAATGTATGCGTGATATTCTCATTAACTTTTGCAAAATGGCAATTGCTGCATCAAGAGACACGGTAGTGTCTCGCGCCAAGTACACGCGGAGCGAGACCGACCGTGACTCTTTTACGCGACGCGACGGGTTGCAAGTACCCGAGATGTTGAGATCTCGATAACGAGTGAACGGATCAAGTTCTAAGTAGGCTTGATCGATAGCTTGGGGTCCAATTAGGGGGGGGGGGGTTTCTCTTATAATATTCCGCTCCATGCCCTACGAGCGGAGATATTGCGACGCAAAGTTCAAATGTGAAAATTTTTTATTAAGATACTTCTTCTTCTTCTACTTCTAACGCCGACGTTATATGATGACGTCATAATCAGAAACGTTACTTTCACTTTTTCGACGCTGGCGGCGCAGGTATCGCCAGTTTCGATATCGCGCGCGTATTTCGAAATTAGGTCGATAGACTTAGGGCCAATTTCACCAACCACAGTTAGCTTAACCGACGGTTAAAGTTAGCAGGATTGACCAATAGAAA